GTTCACCACCAATCGCATTGTAAAGTTTGCAGATGACACCACTGTTTTAGGCCTCATCAGAGACGACAATGGCCAGGACTACAGAGAGGAGGTGGAGCAGCTGGTGGACTGATGCAAAGATAACAGCCTGATCCTGAATGCGGAGAAGACAAAGGAGATCATCTTGGACTTCAGGAAGAACCGGACTAACCACGCTCCACTGGTCATCAATAGCTAGGCTGTATGGTGCTGTTGACCACTGAGGTGGTCAACAGCACCATATTCCTGGGGGTGCACATTACAGACACACTCAACTGGAATGTAAACACCACCTCACTGATCAAAAGGGCGCAAAAGCGCATGTACTTCCTGCAGAGGATGAGGAGAGCCCACCTGCCCCACCCATCCTCACCATCTACAGAAGCACCATAGAGAGTGTTCTGACCGGCTGTCTCACTGTTTGGTATATCAAAAGAAAGTGAGCAGAGTAGTGAGAACAGCAGAAAAAATCATGGGGGCACCTCTTCCCTCCATTAAAGACATTTCATCCCAGCGCTGCTTGTCCCGAGCCCGTAACATCACAAACGACTCCTCACACCCCCAACATGGACTGTTCTCCCTGCTGCCCTCTGGGAAGAGACTTCGAAGAATCTGATGCAGGTCCAGCAGGTTCCAGGATAGTTTCTTCCCACTGCCATTAGACTACTAAATGTTATATATATATATAAAAAAACAAAATGTTGGAACTGTAACTTTACTGTCATATGTTTACAACACCAGTGTTTTTTTTTATCACAATGTTTTTATCGCTGCTGCTTACCTTTATCAAGGCTGCACTTTAAAAAATTAAAAAGTCCAGAGAGCTGTACTAAACGAAATGTATTTTTGTAAACACTTCTGTGCGCAAAATTACAAACTAAAATCTGTCTGAGTCTAAGTCATTATCTGAGGCCAATGAGAATATTATTAGTGACTTTCATCTGTGCTGTTTCAGTGCTATGATGAGCTTAAAAGTCAGACTGAAACTCGTCAAAAAGTTCATTATGGCGTAAGTGGTCGCACACTTTTTTGGCAACTACGTTCTCAAGAATTTTATATAGGAAAGGAAGATTGGATATAAGTCTATAACTGACCAAGTCATCAAGAGACATTTTCTTAAGTAAAGGTTTAATTATAGCAACCTTTGGTTCATATCACTGTAAAAGGGATAGATTATTCACATCTAAAATGGAGGAGGAGATCAAATAGAATACTTCCTTAAATAACTGTCATAATCTGCCCTGGTAGCTGATCTTAAGTGTTAATGTCGCTCATCTGCCTAACTTTGCCCGGGCTCTAATTATCACTGATCTCATCCACAGGTGTCTATTCCTTTATATTCGGCTCATCCCAGCTATCGGGGCCAGATCATCCTAATTATTCCTATATGTTTGTTTCATGTTTGATTCCTGTTTGTTTGTGTCATTAGTTTTAGTTAAGTCCCCGGTTCATGTTCACGTCCCCAGGGGCCAGTGGATTAAGAGGGTTTGGTGTTTGTCTCTTGTCTTCTGATCGTTTCCCGGCCCTCAGGGTTTTGGCTCAGCGTGCAAAGGGAGCTCAGGTTCTGGCCCATCGCCGCGGAGCCCTTTGGGTTTTGGCTCGGATTGCGGGGAAGGTCGGTTTTAGGTCCCGTAAACCTGGCTCCTAGTTGGAGACCAGTTCCTGCAATTATTCCTGGTATCATGTATTGTCTATGTCCCTCAACCACTGAGCCTTCCATGTCTGCATCTGTGCGTGTCTGCCTGAGCTCGTTGATCTATGCATGGAGCTCTGAACCTGCCTTTACGCTCTGTGGATTCTTGGAACCCTGGATCTGTCTGTTCCTGTGCGGATAGGAACCCCTGACTGGGCTGCATACTCCTGGATTCCAGAACTGTTTCTGACTGGTCTGCTTCAATGACCCGGATTGGATTCCTGCCTACTCATTGAGGTTGCTGCATCGGCGACACTCTCTGGGAAGCTCTGTGCCGCTGCTCATTTAGCAGTCCATTGACTGGATCCTGTTTTGGTCATAGGCAAGACACGGTCTGGATGGAGTAATGAGTGGGTAATGGTAGATAAGCTGTAGAGAGGTGTGTTAAACTACTACTCTGCTTCCTGGTCTTCACCCTGGGTTGTCAGTGTTTTGAAGGACTAAAAAATTCGGCCAGATTCCTAGAAAGAAGAGCTGCACCATCCAAAGTGGGACGGATGCCGTCTCTCCGAATCAGACCTGGCTTTCCCCCAAAGGATTGCCAATTATTAATGTAACCCACATTGTTTTCGGGACACCGCCTAGACAACTAGCGGTCGAATGACGACAAACAGCTAACTATGTCATCACTGGTCAGATTAGGGAGGGGAGATAGATATCACAGAAAAAAAGAACTTAATAAAGACAGAGATAGTCTGAACAGCACACTGCTCAGGACTCAAAACAGGAAGTGTGAACACGTTACATCTCACAAACTACAGCAGTAGCACCCTCTAGTGGCAGGAGGAGAAGATCACCACTGTACTGCTTACCAGATATGTCATACATTGTAAACGCTTCTGGTGTATTTCCCACTTTATTTAAAAGAATCATTACGATAACTGGATAGGTGTTGGCTGTTACAGACATATATCACATGTAATGCAGTTCTTTTTAGTTTTCATGCAAGCAATATACAGGCCAGCTATTGTAAGCACAGCATATAATTTTTTCAGTATTATCCGTGGAAATTAAAATGAACATTAACTCAGCAAAATGAATTAATTAATAACTTAAGTTTTCCCTTATACAGACCCCGTTTTTTGTTTTTATAACCTGGTCTCTTCAGGTGTAGTAGTACCTTTACATTCTGTTTGGGTCATATTTTTCAATCCATTCAGTCTATTCCCTATTTGTTTTTTTTTTTAACAATAATGGCTGTTTATCAATAATTAGCCTCAGCCCCAGCAATGTTCCAATCACCAAAAACACAAGTCCAAGAACGGACAAAGTCCCCAAATGGTGTTCTCACCCCACCCTCGTACCCAGCATGCATCAGAGCAGACTTGTGCATTCTTCAGATTGATCTCTGTCCCTGCATGCATGGCGACAGCAGCAGCTTGGTTTGAGGGGAAAGCTCACAGAGCTTAGTGTTAAGTTAAAATTTCAGTTTTCTGCTGATGTCCTACAAAACTATGTTTTCAGAAAATTAGAACAGAGAAGATTTTTAAGCTTAACTATATGGCCCATTTATTGATTTAGGGAGTAGTTTAAAAAAAGTTCTGATGTCTAGAGGACCGTGGCAACCAGCGGACCTCCAAGGCTAACCACAATTGGGGCTAACGATCTGCAGCAGTCCCCTCTCAGCTTGGTCAAAGGTGACGTAACACTGGCTCTGATACTGTTCTATGTTTGTTTACTTTGTTTAGTTTTTTTTTTTTTTTTGGCAAAAAGGTTAATCTTAAGATTATTATGACATCTTAATAATGTATATAGCCTATTTAGTACAAGTGTAATTAGTTGTAAAATTCTATTATTACACCCCTTCTGTCATGACCTTGGTGTTGATGACTGGCTTAATTACTCTTTTAATTCACCTGCTTAGCTCCGCCCAGGTTCTCACTACCGCTCATCTGTTTCACCTGCTCCAGTTTCCAATTAAACTGCCTTCTTCCAGTCATCAGTGTCAGATTATTCGAGCCCTTGGTGAAAGTCTTCTAGTGAGTATTATTCCTTTCTGATTGCTGATCCTGACCTATTCTGACTTTGGACCTCTGAGACCTCTGAGACTGCCTGTTCCCATTCTGATTGGTGTGCCTGACTTGACCTTGGACTCTTGCTGGATCTTGCCTGTTTACCAAACCTGGAACAGCTTCTTGCCACCATTCAGGATATCTTTTTGGTACTTCTTTGGATATCTGACCTTCTGGCCCGAACTCCCATGAACCTCCTCGACAACCGTTTTGGCTTTGCGCTCTGGATTATCCTGCCTTCCTTCGTCGGCTTGGATTTGATCTCCTGCCTGTTCTCTGGCCTCAGGGGCTTCAACGTCTGGGACTCTTTGGGCAGCGTCTGTCAGCAGCCGACTGACTGGAATCTACCTCATCTTCTGGCCATGCACTGAACTTTAAGAGCAGGTGACTCACACTTTCATAATTTTCCTCCCCCAGATTGACGTGGTCACTAACCTATGTGGTTCTTCCTGCAGAGCTCCTGCCTTAGACAACCTAGCTGTTTGCTGTTACTTTAAATACATGCTTTTTAAGATATCATGCTGTCTGTCTCTTGAATACTGGGTTCTCTGTTCTGAGCCTTGACATCTTCTAAATAAAAAGTTTACAATTTATTATTAACTAGAGACTGCTAATAACAGGAGGAGAAATTTAGCTTCAGATGTGCCGTACATGTCGTGATGTAAAGAGTACGCATCTGATCCAATTCTAATAGATATTTACTGCATGCTCCTGTACTCCCTGAGTCCATACCTGTGTTCTTATCAAGAACAGACTTGGCGAGAACATAAAACCGTGCGAAACTCACAAATTTACTCTTGTAAACTGAGAATCGTGCAAAGTCACAGTAACACAGTCACAGCTCACCAAAAGCCAACAATTCACCAGACCAAATAGCAAGACAAACCACAAAAGGGGAGTAAAGTATTTGTAAAGGTTTTGTTAATGAGGTATTCAGATCAAAGCCTTGAAGGGCTACTTTGTAAAGACCACAACTGAATGCTTTTCATTGTGAAAAGGAAGGATTTCCAAGCATGATGTACCTTTAGCAGTACAGATATTGTAGAGAATAGAATATTGTTTTATTTGTTCTGGGATATCTTTTGATAGCTCATGTTTTTTTCTGAAAGTTCCCTTTCATGATTTAACAAGGTGATATTTCTTTTGTTTATACATTGCAAGGTTGTTTCAGAAAGCCTGAATTATTCAAAGTTAGCTTGAGGAAAACCTTGAACTGTCTTTCTGGTATGTAGAGAAACTAACTGACTTTAAATTTAATGTTACATAATATCTGTCAAGGAGAAATTATACATGGGGAAAAAGCAAACTCCATACGAAAGACTCCAACCAGATTTTGGCATTGGAACATTCTAACTTTGAGATTTCAGATAGTTAAATATGTATTTTCATAGAAAAGAAACAGATTTGAATGAAAATTTATACCTGCCCAAAAAGGTTGCTTGCAACATCTCCTTCAGAAAAAGTCTGAACTTAATTTTTAAGGTTTAATTCACTTTGTGTCCTCAGAGTTCACTGACCCTCTCACTAAGGGTCTCCAGCTCCTCCTCCTTCTCATGGTGATGCTCCTTCCCATGATCAACATCGTTGAGAGAGCTACTGATGCAATTTGAGGGGTAGTCAAGGCCACTGAGCTGAGCATGATGCAGCCAACGTAGATCATCACTTTCGTGGGTGATGTACCGCTCATTCATTCGACCCTCTAAATTTCTTAGGTCTATCCACATCTGATAGTCCTGGAGGGGGAAAAAAACACACCCCAAGATTACAGTACTTTTAAAAACAAGTGTTCTTGAAAATTCTATGTAAAAAATATGTATTTTTTTGTCTTTACTAGTGTTGACCAAACTTGCACTTTTATTTTTACATTAGTACTGTAGTAGACACTTTAGAAGCGGTCACATACAATGGTCCACAGAGAGTTTTTGTAACATACCTAAATATGTCAAACAGCATCAAATGCACCGTGAAGAAAGTTTGCAAATTAATTGGTTTTGAATTAATAAAACTGAAATTTATTGAACCTTGACTTGTTAGTTATATTGTGGGTGGGATTGGTAAAATAACAATCTATACTTTTGTTTATTTGTGGCTACTGTGACAAGAATGAAGAGATGGATATAAAAAGCATTTAAATCTAAATGAGTATCGCTCAGCTGACAGGTGACAGTCTGTGTACAGTTTATATGATATGATCAAAGATACAATGTAGTCTGAAGAGTTGTCATTTTTAAAAAGTAGTTTCAATTCAATTTATTTATATAGCACCAATTCACAACATGTCCTCAAGGCACTTTACAGAAACAATTCAATCAGTTCATCTAGTCAGATTGGTTAAAACTTTTCTATCTACAGAAAACCACCTGATTTCACTGACTCAAAAGAAATTCCTCACACCAAGCATGAATATAGAGACAGCTTTTAAAAGTGAGAAACCTCTAGCAGAACCAGGCTCAGTGTGAGCGGCCATGTGACAAGGGGTTAAAGGAGACAGAAGCAGACATACAAAATTAACAAAGAGACACTGATCTATTAACACTTTCTATATTGGAAAAGCTAATAGTAAACTAGCTCCACAGGGGGCTTTTTCTAAGAAAGACATAGTTGACCTGTCATTTAAAACCCATATCAAAGAGGTTTCCAGAATTTCATTCTTTCATCTGTGGAATATTGCAAAAATTAGAAATCTCCTGTCCAGGGGTGATGCTGAGAAACTAGTCCATGCATTTGTTACTTCAACGCTGAACTATTGTAATTCTTTGCTATCAGGAAGTCCACAAACTGTAGTTATGTAAGTTAAGTAGTTATACTTTACTTTCTGATAAAAATGAAAAAGAGAGATCATATCTCTCCTATCCTGGCTTGTCTTCATTGGCTTCCTGTTAAATTCAGAATAGAATTTAAAATCCTCCTTCTCACATATAAAGCCTTAAATGGCCAAGCTCCATCTGATATCAGAGATCTGATTGTTCCTTATGTTCCTAACAGAGCACTTCACTCTCAATCTGCAGGTTTACTAGTGGTTCCTAGAATTTCTAAAAGTAGAATGGGAGGCAGATCTTTTAGTTATCAGGCTCCTCTCCTGTGGAACCAACTACCAGTTTTAGTCCATGAGGCAGACACCCTGTCTACTTTTAAGGCTAGGCTTAAAACTTTCCTTTTTCATAAAGCTTATAGTTAGAGTGGCTCAGGTTATCCTGAGCTATCTCTATAGTTATGCTGCTATAGACTTAGACTGCTGGAGGACATGGGGACCCCTTTCTCATCATTCTGCTTCATTCTATTTCTATTCTCCCACTATGCAGTATCTGTTAGTTAAATCTCTAACGTTCTGCTCTCTCTGCTTTTTTTATAGTAGCTTTGCATCGTCTGTTCCTGTTTGGCTCTGACACCATTGTTGTGCCATATGTCATGATCATACTTTTTGGACATTGGGAACCAGTGTCCATATTTCATCTTGACATCATCATGTCAAGATGAAATATGGCCTCCACAGGTAAGTCACATGGCAAGTCACAAAGGTGTGACCAACATTAGCTCTCACCACTAAATAATGAAATCTAATGTATATGGAAATATACAAATATGGTGGGTACTGACTGGATTGTGTTCTTTTTGAAATTTCTTCATAACTTGTGTTTTTGTGCAATCAGCTGAAAATGGATCCAAGCATCCTCAATTCTGGGCACATGATTGACTCCATAGGCATAGAGAAACAGAAACAAATTGTTGTGAAGCTTATCCACTTATCTTCAGATAAGTTAGAAGAAAGGATTCAAGATTTAATTTTACTCAACACCATCCTGGAGAGAAATATCAGCTGTGCTGCTTCCATCAACACCCTTGTTTATAGATGCTGGAGATCGGCCTGTTTTCCAGTGTGGTCCTGTTTCTCTGACTGTGACTAACTGGACGTGCTCTCTTCATCCTCTGACATGGGAGCTGGCTCGGAGCTCGTCTGCCTGGCTGTGTGTTTCCTGGACGGGCCGTCTTTTACAGCTGCTTTTTGTATCTCTGCTTCTGTCTCCTTGAACCCCAGTCGGCCCCAGCAGATGGCCGCTCACACTGAGCCTGGTTCTGCTGGAGGTTTCTTCCTGTTAAAAGGGAGTTTTTCCTCTCCACTGTCGCAGACTGGATGGTCTGGTTGAATTGTCTCTGTAAAGTGCCTTGAGATTACTTGATGTGAAATGGTGCTATATAAAAATAAACTGAATTAAATTGAAAGTGAATTTAATGATCCAATCACCATTGTTGCAGGTAGCAGACTGGTCATTTCTTTACTTAACTATAAGCAACACTTTGAATGCCGCAGCCCACTAAGCGGAAGCTTCCACTTCTTATTATTGGGCTGGGCAACGATACTAGGAATTGCACATAAAAAAAATTGCACAATTTCGGGTTAATTGAAAGATAAGAACCATTTCCAGTCAATTTGTCTTGGTGCCCAACCCTATACTTTAGCACAGTTGTTTCATTTGAATGTAAAAAATGTAATTTTCTCAACAGCTTTCAGATAAAGAAAACAAAAAATATTTAAAAAATTTAGGTTGAAATGTTTTTTAAACTATCAGTTGATACTCTTGGCCAGCTCTTTTTTTTTTAAGAGATATTTTGATCTTAATTAATTAATTTAATTAACAAGCCTAACATAATGGAGGTTATTATTAAAAGCAAAACTATGGATTATGATGTAAAGTAGATGAAACTGACTAAGTGATTTAAAGTGATTTTTAATCAATCACATCTACATGATTATGTTTTAGGCAATCAATGCATGGTATATTACAAGCATGCATATTTTTCTATACTCCACCTCTCATATAATGAAAGTAAAAGGTAAAGTTATCACATAAATTAAAAAAGCTTAAGTAGTATGAAAGCTATCATCATTTTTCATAACAACCATCTTTCCCCCAACCTATTTGAAGAATGCATCTAACATTATCGATAAAAAAAATACCTTGCAATGTTTGTTCCCCTCTTAAAAATACAGTAGATTTACAAAAAAGTCATTATAATGGGAAAGCAAAAATTTACAAAAGATTAATTGCCTTATTTTCGTAATATTCTCAACATGATCTCTATGTGATGTTTGATTCATTCACTCTTTTCATACCTGTAACCAGGGGTGACTGAGAGTCTTGTCAACACTGTACCTCTTTCTCATCTTCACTTGCAAGAGGTTATTGATCAGATCGATTGCTGCAAAAAAGAAAAGCGAGCAACAGGTAAACTTCTCATTAATGTTTTCCTCACAATGTTTCAAATAAGAAGTTAACATGCAAAAAAAGACAAACTTTCTAGTCTTATTACCTACATTTTCACATAAAAAAGACTAAAACCAACTGAAAAGGTCAGCAGTTTGCAAACTTTTGGATGAAAAGGAATTTTGTATATTTTGCCATGCAATAAAACTCACTACAAAAGAATACATTAATACGTTATTTGTCAGTATTTATTTTGGCTCAATTTGACCTCTACATTAATGGTTAGTTCTTTATAAAATCAGGGATGGCCTCTGAATTCTAAGGTGAACTAATTACATGTTTAATAAGAAGTGGCCTCCTATTGATAAAATTACACTGAATTTAATTCAATTCAGTTTCAATTTTAACTGGATATCCATATCCATTTCATATGCGGTTTGATAAGGTAAGCGCTAACACTGCCACCAACAAATAAAGATGCAGTATGTAACTGTAGTGACTTAACAGCTCTATTTAAATCATTATATCCTGACAGTAGAATAGTACATGTTCTGTGACAAATAAAATAAGGTCCTTTCCCTTATCCTGGTGGTCCTATTGCCAATCAAAAAGATTCACCACTTCTAGGCTGAAACAACCAATCACAGATGGGATGTCTAAGTGATGTCGTCACCATTATGAACTGCTCACACCCATCATCCCCATGTGGTTAAGCTCAAGATTGCTGATGTCCTATCACTTCAACACATGGACAAACGACGATAAGCATCAATGTAAAGCTTATTGATATTTCTTTCCTACCAGTAAGTGTGCCATATCTGTTTATCTCCTATGATTGGTGGAACTGGATGCCAGCCTGCACATTCCCAGTCGGCTCCACTGCAGGATAAAAGCTACTGTAGAGAGGGAGCTGCAGTGCAGCAGAAAGCAAGGTGAAGCGACTGCTTGCTAAGTCTCTATGTAACAATAAATGTATCAAAATACAAGGGCAGAGTTTAGAACAGAGAACTCAGCAGCTGTTTCCTGGCAGCATCCTGAAAGCAGTTTGGTACATTAACACAAACGCAAAAGCTTTAACAATTTCACCAGTTTCGTCTGATTTTGCTCCATTAAAATTCACCTGGCCAGCGAATGCCACATGCCATAGTTCCACCTCCCACTGAAGCTTTCAGTGGTACATCTCCCTATCTGTGGGGGGGTGTTGGTGGTGGTGGGGGCGGAATGGGTCAAAGGTCACCGGGATGGGACTAAAACCTGTCATAGCCTTGTTAGGACTAGGCCTCTCCAAATGGGTCCAATTGGTGGCTTTAACGCTAGTATCATCAGTCTTATTTTTTTTTCTTCTGTATCTACAAAGCACCATGGCTTTTAAAGCCATTTTATTATCACTGAAAGCAAGAGATCAGTAGACGTTTTCTGACTTCTTCCTTATTATGGGAAGACAGGGATTACAGAAAATGCTGAAAATCAGATGGAACTGATTTATGCTCTTTTCATTTCTATTATTGAACTGGATTATTGGGTAGTAAGAATCTTTTCTTTGAAATGGGGCAATAAAATACACAGATCTGGTGATGTTATCCTTACTTTACTCTGACATTTAATCTGCAGGAACTTTTCTGCATTTATTTCTAAACTGCACTTTACCTCACTTTGGCAGCATGAAGAGGTGGATGGAAAACTGCTTTAGCTTCCTGGCTGAGGAGGGAGTGAGTCACTAATAAAACAGTCTTAGTGACAACTTGACAACTTTAGTGAACACACACTGCATGTAGAGACATCAACATGAGTCACTCTGCTGTCCTATATGGCTCCGGCTTACTTAGTGATATACTATCAAACTGCAGAAGGGTAGCAAATAAAGGGTATGTGATTAGCTAGCTGTAATTTGTGTCCAATATTTTCTACTATGTTCAAATCCTTTCTATTCTAACAACTGGCAGCATCATACAAGATAACCACTTCCAAGCATAAAAGACATATAGTGCAAATTCAAATCTATCTATCTATCTATCTATCTATCTATCTATCTATCTATCTATCTATCTATCTATCTATCTATCTATCTATCTATCTATCTATCTATCTATCTATCTATCTATCTATCTATCTATCTATCTATATATATATACACTCACCGGTCACTTTATTAGGTACACCTGTCCAACTGCTAGTTAACACTTAATTTCTAAGCAGCCAATCGCATGGTGGCAACTCAGTGCATTTAGGCATGTAGACATGGTCAAAACAATCTCCTGCAGTTCAAACCGAGCATCAGTATGGGGAAGAAAGGTGATTTGAGTGACTTTGAACGTGGCATGATTGTTGGTGCCAGAAGGGCTGGTCTGAGTATTTCAGAAACTGCTGATCTACTGGGATTTTCACGCACAACCATCTCAAGGGTTTACAGAGAATGGTCCGAAAAAGAAAAAACATCCAGTGAGTGGCAGTTCTGTGGGCGGAAATGCCTTGTTGATGCCAGAGGTCAGAGGAGAATGGTCAGACTGGTTCGAGCTAATAGAAGGGCAACAGTGACTCAAATAACCACCCGTTACAACCAAGGTGGGCAGAAGAGCATCTCTGAACGCACAGTACGTCGAACTTTGAGGCAGATGGGCTACAGCAGCAGAAGACCACACCAGGTGCCACTCCTTTCAGCTAAGAACAGGAAACTGAGGCTACAATTTGCACAAGCTCATCGAAATTGGACAATAGAAGATTGGAAAAACGTTGCCTGGTCTGATGAGTCTCGATTTCTGCTGCGACATTTGAATGGTAGGGTCAGAATTTGACGTCTACAACATGAAAGCATGGATCCATCCTGCCTTGTATCAACGGTTCAGGCTGGTGGTGGTGGTGTCATGGTGTGGGGAATATTTTCTTGGCACTCTTTGGGCCCCTTGGTACCAATTGAGCATCGTTGCAACGCCACAGCCTACCTGAGTATTGTTGCTGACCATGTCCATCCCTTTAGGACCACAATGTACCCAACTTCTGATGGCTACTTTCAGCAGGATAATGCGCCATGTCATAAAGCTGCAATCAATCTCAGACTGGTTTCTTGAACATGACAATGAGTTCACTGTACTCAAATGGTCTCCACAGTCACCAGATCTCAATCCAATAGAGCATCTTTGGGATGTGGTGGAATGGGAGATTCGCATCATGGATGTGCAGCCGACAAATCTGCGGCAACTGTGTGATGCCATCATGTCAATATGGACCAAACTCCCTGAGGAATGCTTCCAGCACCTTGTTGAATCTATGCCAGGTAGAATTGAGGCTGTTCTGCAGGCAAAAGGGGGTCCAACCCGTTACTAGCATGGGGTACCTAATAAAGTGACCGGTGAGTGTATATATATATATATATATATATATATATATATATATATATATATATATATATATATATATATATATATATATATATATATATATATATATATATATATACATATACAGTACACATACAGACACATATATATATATATATATACCGTATTTTCACGACCATAAGGCGCACCGTACTAAAAGGCGCAGTCTCAGTTATGTGTCCCATTTCTGTATTTACCACACACATAAGGCGCACCGGACTATAGGGCGCATTTTTTATATACAGGTACATGTCCTCTACTACCTTTAAATACCTCTACTGCGTATTTAAAAATACAGCTGGGGCAAAACTGAGTATGATTGTGCTTTATTCATGTATTTATTACAAAGTATTAATCAAACCTGGGAGCTGGCCGTGAGACAGACACATCACAGATGACACAGAGCTGTGATCACTCCTAAATTAACTTAAAATCCTGAAACCTGACGACGGAATATGTTCGCTTTTATTACCGGTATCCTGGTGCCTGCAGTTAAAAATATTTAGATGGAAAACACCTGCCAGCCACCGCGTGAACCCGGAGGCTACCCAGCCTAGAGGCTGCTGTTGAAGAGATTTCTACTGTCGGCGCACCGCTGGTATGTGGGGGTCTGAGCGCCTCCGACAGAAATAGATAATCTGGATGAACTGACTGCAATTATTAAGTTTTCAGGTGGACTTTCTCTTTTAAAAACATATTAAAACTACTTTATTCCCACTGATCACAGCAAATATAGCTGCAAGATTTAGATTATTTAGATGAAAAAACACCTGCCAGCCACCGCGGTATACGCGGAGGAGACCCGGCCAGAGGCTGCTGTTGAATTAAGTTTTCAGGTAGAAAAATAGAGCGGGAGCAAAACTGAGTATGATTGTGCTTTATTCATGTATTTATTACAAAGTATTAATCAAACCCATCAAAGTCATCATCCTCTGTTTCTGAATTAAACAGCTGCGATAAATCAGACATGCCAATTTCCCCTTCTTTGCTGTCAGAGTCACTTTCCGTGCAGCGCGGCTCCTCAGAAATAATGCCGGCTTTTGCGAAAGCTTGAACAACAGAGCCAGCAGACACGTTAGTCCAAGCATCTACAATCCATCCGCAAACTGTGGCGTAACTTGCCCGGCGCTGCCTTCCACTTATCGTGAAACTGTGGTCTCCGTCTGTCATCCATCACTCCCACGCCGCTCGCAGCCTTACTTTGAACGGCCGCTTCACACCGATGTCGAGCGGTTGAAGTTCCTTTGTCAGACCTCCCGGGATAACGGCGAGCACAGCGTTCATTTGATTCACCTTTTTTTCACATCGGCTGTGAGATGGGCACGCAGCGATGGTGATGCGTGGAAAAAACCACCTGGTCTCCTCACATACACCTGCCTTTCATCATCTCCTCATCCATCCAGCCTTTTTCATTTGCGTTAATATAATATGTCATCAGAGCGCTGTGTCTGTCTCGCTGTCAGCTCCCAGATCAGCTTCTCTGATTGGTTGATGCGGCGCTTCCAGCGGCAAAACTTCAATTTTTCCATCTGAGCAGCAGCAGCGCGTCGGCAGATGCTTAAACGCTCCCGACTCGCTGCACCTGCTGCTCAAAACGCGCTGCGGGACCTTTTGCTGCGCC